ATTTGCCAAGTTTGATAGGCCTTGACCTGACACTGACTTATTGCTAAACACAGCGTCGTGCTTGGAGAAACATTCTAGTGGTGTTTCTTCTTTTAGCTGCATGTATTACCACGATTACAACCTCGTGATTTTAATTCGAGTGAATTAGATTGTTAAATGCATTAAATTGCACATGGTTGCACATGGTTGCGTGATGCTTCTCCATTCCATAAGGTTCATGTGTTCATTAGCCTACTGCTGCATTCCATGAAATATGTATATGATTGTTAGGGTTAGTTGCTCTCGCCGCTTGTTTTCGGCGATGGTCGGCAGTGTCGCTTATTTCACACACTCCTCTCTATTTATACACTCATTGCAAAACTCATTACCCTCCCTGCCTCAGATAGGCTCATACGCTGGCGACTGAGGGTGACTCTCCAGGCAGTAAATCACGGACCGTCTCGTCAACAGCCGTGTAATGACGGACTGACAGTGCCCACTCGTCTTCATTACCAATCTGCCGGGGGTTGACCGCGCCGCCCCCCCCCCCCCTGGGACGGTGGGACGCCCCCTTCCCAGGCGGGCCATCAGTGAGCGCGACCCGGCCGAGAGGCGTGTGGTCGACCCACCTCAGACGCGACCGACATCTCACCGCACACGGCCGCTCCGACCGTTTCGACACCCTCCGCGCGACCCCGAGCGCCGCCGCGGCTAACCGCCGACCGCGGCGGCGCGGCGGTGTGTGGGCGGTGGGCGGGACACTGTGCGAACTGTGCACCGGTCGTGCACAGTGCGCAGCCCCCGCTCTGGGTCAGAGGTGCCCCACCGTGGGCTGATTACCGCGGCTGATGGATGAGATCACGACAGGCACGCGTGCGCCGTGCACGGGGACGTGCCCCGCGGTCGGTGAAGATGTCGCGCATGGCATTGGCGGCGACAGCCAGCGACCGGCGTAATTAAATTATGGCATGCGTAAATAAATACGTATTACGCCCGAAGAATTATACGTTGATAACGGTCGTCAAATGCGTATGCATTCTGGTATGTCATCAAATTTGTTAACCCGTGCCTCACTGGGGGGGGGGGGCTATTCATAGCCCCCTCCCGTTTTTCTGCAATAACTTCTAAACGACTTGACGTATCGCCGCCAAACTTTCAGTACCTTCGGCTGCATCAATTTGACACCTTGTGTTAAAATTTGAACTTCGTATCTATCATAGGTCGGCCGGAAATGACGTCAGAGTGACGTCATGTTCGGCCGATTTCGACGCAAAACACTGAACCACGGGAATCGCTCCCAAGAGCTCAGTTTTTGAGCTAGATCCAATTTCTTTGCATGAGAGGACTCAGAATGAACTGCGCTATCAAACTGCTATCTCGAATTTTCAAGATTATGAAAATTATGAAAATTAGTTTAATCAAAATTCAAAATTTGTATTTTTATATTTTTTCAAAAACTTTTTGACTTTTCGAAAAAACGGAATATATATGATAGAACGCATGGTTATGACTTACTCTAGCAAGTTTTAGCCAGATATCTTCAAAAATGGTAAAGTTATGCGCATTATAGCAAAAATTTCACAATTTTAATTTTTTCAAATCAATTTTTCTGTACGAATTTGACATCGTACATCAATATAAATAGCACCATCGTATTCCTGAGCTCAAACTGCATCCGATAGACATGTTTTTTATTCAACAATTTCAACTTTGAAATTTGACCTTTTCTGACCTGAAAGTGACCTGACCTCAGCTATATTCAGATGAAAATTGCCTCAAATGACACAGGCGGCACCGAATTCGAAATCTGTGGCCTAAATGGACCATAAAACATGTGTCACGTGACCGACTTCTGACATAAGATTTCCGTGACCTATGATGACCTGACCCTGACCTGAAAATCAAAGTACAAGTTTGGTACCCTCAGGGTATCTAAAGCACCTGTTCACGAGTGCGTAAACCAAAACTCAGCCTGATCTGACCTGTAAGACGGCAGCCGCCAGCCAGAGCCCAAAATGTGAACAAGCCAAATATCGACAATTTTCACTTTGACCTGACCTGTGACGTCATCAGTGACCTCGAGGTCAATGAAATTAGGTTTCGTTCGACAGTTTTTCCGGGGCTATTAGATGCCGTTTGAATTTTGACGATCGGCCCAGTAGTTTCGGAGTTAGGAGGGGGGCTATGAATAGCCCCCCCCCCCCCCAGTAGGGCGTGACGCGTGTTATACACAGACTCCAGTGGGGCGCGGGTTAAGTACAGCTTAAATATTAAGAATGGTCGAAATGCTTATGTTGCATATCATTCGACTCGGTTCTTCAAGAGGAATAGAATGATACCATTTTGAAAGCTGTATCTTTTTGTTATGTGACAAGTTATTGGCACAAACAACATTTGACCTCAGTTGACCTCATTTGACCTGACCCATGGATAAGTAGGTACACGAAACAAAGAAGCACCAAGTGACATAATGTTAAAGGTAGTGTGCCACCTTTGAAAGATTTCCCATTTTATTTTTCCTAGGATAAGAAGCTTCTGTTTTTACCTAATATCACAAAAAAAATCAAAAATGGGCCTGGAATAGTGCCTTTTTCGCCTAAAAGTTTATCGGTTTTTCGATATGTATAACAACTGTAGTGGGCTGACCTGCAAACAGGCGTCGGCAACAATCGCGAATGCGGCGCACATGTGACAATAAGCAAAGGTCATTATAGAGTTACGACGTACGGGAATGAGTTATCAGCTGTCTAATCGTAGACAACACAATGTCGAGCCTTAAACTGTAAGCCTGTATTGGTATTGTTTCTTTTATTTGGCTGTCGAACATTATTTATGGTTTGAAATATGATTTTATGTAAAATAATTGATATGAAAAAGCCGTCTCTTAAGTTATGACCCCATTTCACCACACGCAAGTGGCAGAAATGACAATGATCAGCTGACGCATTTTTCTTGGCCGAAGTCAGAGCGCGCGGCCCGACTCACCACCACCGCACCACAAAGTATGAGCAGAAGCCGCGCCCAAAGCCAGGGCCCCGGTAGGCGGTAGCCGGTAACGTGAGGTAGCCGAGTCGGGGCAGCGTGCGCTGACCCAAGCCGGGGCCGCAGCTTTGGGCGCGGTCTACCGCATCCCCGCGGGCAGCCCCGGGCTATCACATGACACCGGGAGGACGCGCGGCCCCGGCTTGGGTCAGCGCACGCTGCCCCGACTCGGCTACCTCACGTTACCGGGGCCCTGGCTTTGGGCGCGGTCTACCGCACCACCTAACAGGCGTGTTCGAAACCGCAGGAGATGATGATGAACGGGTTTATCGAAACTTGATTGGATGAGCATATCGGTAATAGCGATTTCAGTGTGTGCATTTATTGTTCATAGTGGTGTGAAATGTGGTTGGGGTACGACCGACAACCCGTCGGGGCGAATTTCGCACTGGGGTACTCAAAATTTGAAGAATTTAAGACGTTTCCATGAGTTTTGAAGGTATGGATAAGTTCTAAAATCCGGTTCTCCTTATCTGGGCCATTAACTCCATACGGTCCAGGAAAGCTGGCACACTACCTTTAAGTACTAAGGTTTCAAAGCACAAAAGTGATAGAGCGAAGCGGATATCTCCAGTATTTCCCGAATTGAATATTTTCCCACAGGCTTAACATTACGAAGTAATGACCTCTACTAACTGACCTCAGGTCAGTGACATAAAAAACGAACTATATGTCATACCTACAACTCGGTAAACTTAGCACATCCTGAAAGTTTGAAAGAAAGCAGTCCAAAACTGTAAGTTAGACAGGTGCATAAAGAAAATTGAAATTTGACCATGACCTTGTACCGGTTTTTCTGACCTGGTGACCTGACCGAAGGTCACCTGGACCTTAAATTTTCAGGTCATATGTAAAAAGGTTGCCCCATAGAGGCTGTGCCAAATTTGACGGCGCTGCGCGCCGCCGTTTTTACGCTATCTTCGAAAACCCCTAGAGGGGGGTCGCATCGACCCCCCCCCCGCCAGGGCGAGGGTTAAACAATGTTCAATTCCTCCCATTGCCGTATAATGAAGTGGTCACCTAAGTGACCTGATCTTAGGTCACCGATATATACTAAGGTCGAGTTAGCTATACGTTATATCACCCGAAACGATCCGCGAAAGTTTTAGAGCAATCGTTTCATCGCTGTAGATAAGACGAGCATTTATGTCTTACATCGGATCCTTCACCCATGATCTTGAATGACATGGATCTAATTTTTACGACATACTTTAAAAAGGCCAAGATTACTACAACATAAAAGGCTTATAATAAAATTTGCGAGATATCATGCTGCTTATTGTTACGTGCCGCTGTTTTTCTTTTCTTTTTAGATATTCGCGAAAACGTTATGAGGGAGGTCGTAAACACCCGTCTAAATTTCGCGAAATGCAAAAAATGTTTGACTTCATAGTACACATTTATTAGCCGTTTTCACGACGGTCTATCCGGCGAGTGCACCTGATTTGACCAAATCTGCACCTAATCTCTTTTACCGCAAATATCTTCATTTTATGAATTTATTTCAGTGTTTTAATCGATGATGCTCTCTGATAATACGACAATGCAGCCGCATATAAGGAATTAGTGTAACCCTAGATGATAGCTACTAAGAGACACACTGAACCTGATTTGACCAAATCTGCACCTGATCTGCACCAGATGTGCACCAAATGTGTACCAGATGGGCGTCGTGAAAACGGCTATTATTTACCTACCTATGAGAGGGCGACGCTCACCTGTACCGTTACCGATTCACAGTCGGGGTCTTTCAGTTCAGTGGTGCTACTGATCCCCATTCAGCGCTGGCCGGGAGTTCCAGACCACATCTCTCGCCGGTCGCGGCCGCCGGTGGGTCTGATGTCTCACGGCGAGCGCTCCTTACCGCCCGTCTCCCACCGCTGTCCGCCCGCGCCGCCGCGCGAACCCGCGACCTCTGACCCGCGACCCGTATAAAGAGACGCATCACTGCAAAGTCGGCATCAGTCGGTCTGTGCAGTTGCATCTGCAACTACGGCGGTAGCAGCGACAGCGACAGCAGCAGTCGGAGCATCATCCCCAGTGCAGGCAGACGGCGGCAGTGATGGCTCCCCTCCAGCACCTCCTCCTCCTCTGTCTCGCTCTGTCCGTCTCGGCCTCCCCGGACGGTTATACAGACGGCGGCGTCACCCCCGTTCCCGTTTCCCCCAGTCCCGCCACGTACCGACCTCGCTCCCCAAACGACAACATCTTCGCCGGCAGCAGCGCGGGCGGCGTGGGCGGCGGCTACTTCCCTGCGGCTGCTGGCAGCGGAGGTCGAGTCATCTCAGTGGGTAGCGGCGGCGGCGGCAGGCGCGCCCCCTCCTCCGCCTACTCCCCCGCCCCCGGCGGTGAGGGCATGCCGTACGACTTCGGCTGGGCCGTCCAGGAGCCGGACAGCGGTAACGAGTTCACTCACGAGGAGACGTCCGACGGCGTGCTGACGTCGGGTCAGTACCGGGTCAACCTGCCTGATGGCCGCGTTCAGCTGGTTACCTACACCGTACGGGGAGACAGCGGGTATCAGGCGGAGGTCACCTACGAGGGAGAGGCTCAGTACCCGCCCACGTCCAGCGGGCAGGGGTACAGCTCTGGAGGTCAGCCGAGCTACAGCGCGCCCGCCGGCGGAGCGGCGCGGTACTCGGCTCCCTCTAGCAACCAGCAGAGGTACTCGGCTCCTTCCAGCAACCAGCAGAGGTACTCAGCTCCCTCCAGCAACCAGCAGAGGTACTCGGCTCCCTCCAGCAACCAGCAGAGGTACTCAGCTCCCTCCAGCAACCAGCAGAGTTACTCAGCCCCCTCGAACACCCAGCAGCGGTACAGCAGCGGCAGCGGCAGCCGGTCCCCTGCTGCACCCAGTCGCGGGTTCCCCAGCCGTGCCGGACGGCGGTACACCCCGGCCCCTAGCACCCAGTACGGTGCTGCTCCGTCCTCCCGTCCGACCAGCCCGGCCCCCAGCACGGAGTACGGTGCGGCACCGGCGACCCCTCGCTACTCACCCGGCCAGGACAGTAGCGGAGGATTCGGCAGCCGCCTGACGCCTTCTGCAGGCGTCAGCTACCGGGGGTCGGGGTCGGGCGGTGCCGCTCCGCAGCTGGAGAGCACCTACGGAGCGCCGGCCACCCCGTCTCAGTCGTACGGAGCCGTCTGAGAGTCGTACGGAGCCGTCTGAGAGCGGCAGACGTCACAGGGAAAGTCACCGAGCGGTGTCACCCATCCGTGCTTCTATCCTCAGGATACTGAAATCCTTCTCCTCCAAGCCGCAACCCCCCTCCGGGCTGGACAGGCAACTTTATCTCATGCGGGCTGCTCCCTTGGTGCGGCACCGCTGCTCCTGAGGGAGCGCACCCCGTAGCCGGGTGCAGTGAGTGCCTTGGGGCTGGGTGGCCTGTCCTCTGGACGGGCTCAGCCCCGGCGACTCACTAGGGTGCCTGCCCAGACCAATGTCTCCCCCTAATTCCTATCATCCTTCCGGCTCTGCAATGGTCTTGTCGACCGAAAGGGCCTAACCCAACAAAAACCGAGCGGTGTCGGTGAACAGGATCAAGCGCTTTTCAACAGTGTCGACTGGTATAAATATATGTTTGTCTTTGTGAATGCCTATTTATGTGTGCTAAGTGCTGTATATATGTCGATAATTGTCTGTATATGTGATAAAACAAAATGTCTGATTTTAATATAATTATGTTCCGTGTCTATATCACCGATTCTTGAGTTTCACTTCTCAGTGTCTAGGTAAAAACGCGCAACCTTATGCAACAAGCTACGGCCGCATTGAAAGAGGAAATACATAACAGTATCCCTAAAGTGCTATCCCTAAAGTGCCTAAAGTGCTAGATTTCTTAACCCACGAGCCACTGGGGGGGGCATAAAGTTGCCCCCCCCCCTTTACGTTTTGTGAAATATCTCCGAAACCTGATGAGCTACGAACGTGAAACTTGGCATAGCTTCAAATGAATACCTAGGCAATGTTTGAGGAAAGTTTGGTGGTTGTAGCACCTAAGATGACGTCACAGTGACGTCATAAAGTTTTGTCGTTTTCCGATATGGACCGTTTCTGATGACGCTGAGCATGAAACTCAACTGTAAATGAACTAGACAGCACCTGCTGTCATCCTAAAACATCTAACTACACTTCCATCTAGTTTCTGACCAATAATCGACCCTTTATATTCGGTCCCATATATCTGATGTATCGTGAGGAATATGAGAGTCGCAAATCTATAATTTCACTTATGACGTCACTGTGACGTCATTTCAAATGGGATCGACACCAAATTTGGACACAACCTCGGCTAGGTATTCAGAAAGATGTGTGCAAAGTTTCGCTTCTCTATCTCTTCGCGTTGCGACGATATCGTCGCAGAAGTAAAGGGGGGGCAACTATATGCCCCCCCCCCAGCGGCCGGCGGGTGGCGCGGAGGCCCAGCGGCCGCCGGGTTAAAAAGAAAAGGTCAATCCCTTATGATTCGCATGTAGAAGGCATATTCTATCGGCTGAAGCCAGTAAAAATAAAACTATTCACGTTGTTAAATGTTTTTTATCATAAAATGCTATATACCTACGGTCATAGCGATCCAGTCATAGCATTTCATTTATAATTTTTCCGGATAATATGTATGTGTAGTGTAACAGTGTTTAATCGGCGATTGAAGCTCTTACTAAACGATCCATTGCAATGTCTACCGTTTTTAAATAACTGTCACAGCTAGCGAATAAATATTTCGCTTTACACAGAATAACACCTTTTGTTTGCGCTAATTTCATTTATTTTCGCAACATATGACCACAACCGTGCAACAGCGCCGCCGATACCTATGGCTGTTACCGATGGATCGGCCAACTGTTTTCAGGGTCCGCCGCTTCCATCAGGACGCCCGTCCTGGCGGTCACCGTTTTCGGCAAGTGGTCCCGTACATAGGGCCGCCATGTTCAGTAGGCCGCCGTTTTCAGCAGGTCGCCCGTCCTCAGGCCGGCTGTTTTCAGCATGCCGCCGTTTTCAGCAGGTGGCTCCGTCCTTGCAGCAGAGGGTGGCATCTTCTCGTTCTGATCCAGTATACATAGGCTTGTCCTCCCCGCAGTACGTATAGAAGGCGCCAAACTAAAAGGCAAAACGACATTTGAAGGTAAACGTAATTTGCGGAAGAGCAGTTAGGAGTATTGCCACAACATATTTTGCAAGGCATATGTATCTCCAGCAGTTGCAACCAACAATTAATCACTTTTATCGGAGTGCCTAATTAGTAATGACAAGTTTTTCAATTTTCAACATAACGTACAACAGGTATTAAAAGTAGATATGCCTGTCACGCCATAGGCTTTATCTGCCCCTGTTAAATCTCCGTTTTCTCGTAAAACCGTTTTTCTTCTCATTGCTTTCCCGCAGTTTTGATTTTATGCCAATTGCCAACGTGTTTTACCAAATGTCATATCTCCCGAATGTCACCGTGAACGACCAATCTTGCAATGACCTTTCATAAAATTTAAGTGTGCCTTAAAAACCTCAACCGTGACCTTCCAAGGCTCACTGCGACCTTCCAAAACTCAACACAAGCTTCAAAATCCTAATGTGACCTTCAAAATATTATCTTGACTTTCTCCCTCTTCCCGTGACCTTCCCCCTCTCACCGTGAACGTGCCCGTCTTGAGCAGCTGGCAGAGGTCGTCTCCAATCGTGTGGGGACTGCCACGAGATCGGCTTGTCGCGTCCAGGCTCCACTTGGAGTTCACCTTGGCGAACTGTGGTTGAAAGTTGAATCCGGAAAGAGGGCACGGTTAGTCACATGTTGAGGGAGATATCTCAGACGTTTCTCAGTGGCAGCTGCGCAATGATGAGATGCGTTGGAAATGGAGACAAATAATACGTTTGCTGAGAGGCTAACAAAAACAATGTGAAAGAGAAATAGGCACAGAGGGAGATAGCGATGATTGAGAGAGAGAGAGAGAGAGAGAGAGAGAGAGAGAGAGAGAGAGAGAGAGAGAGAGAGAGAGAGAGAGAGAGAGAGAGAGAGAGAGAGAGAGAGAGAGAGAGAGAGAGGAGAGAGAGCTGGGAGACGGGCAGATAAAGACGTAGCTACGGACGGACGGATAGACGGATATACTCGTATGTATGACGGACTTAAATGCAGAACGAAGAGAAAATACATCAAAGCGATCATTCCTAAAAAGTGTGAGGCGCCACAACGATCGTCGGTACTCACCCAGCCGGAGCAGACTCGTTTCATGACGGCCATATCTGGGTTATCGCAGTCTACCATAGGCTTGCTCATCTCTTTGCCGCTGTACAGCCTTCCGAAACTGTTCCCAGGCTTGTCCATCACATACATTGCGCATTTTATAGTTCTGAAATATGTCAGTTATCACTTATCGATAAGCTTCGTTGGATATCCCGCGCCCCGCTGGGGGGGAGCAGAATCTGCCCATTCTGCCCCCCCTCCCGTTTTTCGCCAATAACTTCTAAACGCGTTACGCCAGCGACGTCAAACTTTCAGTACCTTATCATACATCAATTTGACACGTTCCCTGAAAATTTGAGCGAAATCCGTCGGAAAATTTTTGAGAAATTGACGTTTTAGTGACGTCATGTTCGCCATTTTCGCCTCAAAAACGGCAAAATTTCAAACGCCGCTAACATCTTCATTTTTAAAGGAATCAAGACGTAACAAAAAGGTTATACGTGATTCTACTTTGTCTATCAAATGGCTATCTCGGTTTTTTGAAAATTTTGGATTTTGGCCAAAATTTTTCAAAAAAACTGACTTTTTTGGGAAAATATTTATAAAATCCAAAATTTTGAGTTTATCGAAAAAACCGGAATATATGTCAAAGAAGTGGTCTATGTGCACCTACATACCAATTTTTAGAAGAATCGGTTCAAAAATGTGGGAGTTATTCAAAGTTTTATGACGTCACGACACACAAAATTTTTGAAAAATGATTTTTTTTTGGAAGTTCTAGACCTCGTACGGAAACAAAAATAGCACCATTCGATTCGCCGTGAAAAACTGCATCGGATAGACACCTTTTTAGGCCTTAACAACCAACTTCAAAATTTGACCTCACTTGACCTGACCTTGACCTGACCTCGACCTGAAATTCATCCAGAGGTGGTCCATATCACTTATTGAGTGTGCCTATTGAATTCCATGAGTAAAATGACCCATAAAACATGTGTCGGACATGCCCTTTTCTATATTTTGTTTTTGGTGACCTGACCTGACCTGACCTGACCTTGACTTTGACCTTTGAATGACATTGTGTGCAACGAATATTGTCTTGGTAGTCTAAGAACACGTTTTGGGCAATCAGTCTCAGTCCATTCTTCGGCAATTACGGTGCAAGGCCGATACTGTAGAAACTTGCATTTTGTACCCTTGACCTGACCTTGACCTGACCTCTGACCTACTTAAGCAAAAAAATTTGGGCTCTTAAGATCCGCCTTGTTGAGAGCTTTCGATTGCCGTTTTCCCCGTCTTTCTACGACCATCGGTTCGGAAGTTAGACAGGGGGGGGGGGCAGAATCTGCCCCCCCCCCCCCCCAGCAGGGCGCGTATGGCTGAATAGCCCAGCGGGGCGCGGGATATAATGCAAATCAACGTCGCGAAAATATGCACCTGAGTAGATAATGAGTTATGTTTACATTGCTAATACGGGTAAAGGCCCACTGAAATAGGGTGGATTGCTTTAGCCGTTTGAAGAGAAATCCGTCTCTATTTTTAGGATCTTATATTCGAAATGAATTACATTTCCGTTCAAACAGATTTCGTCATGTCTGACAATTTATTTGCCGTCCATGTTTACTGACCCGTCGGAGCTATGCGCGATGCTGAGCAGTGTCAGGGCCACCAGGAGGGGCGCCGAGCCCGCAGTTCTTCCTGCACCTGCCATCTCTGCAGTCTGCACTTCACAACGACACTCGTACCGAACTCTACGTCAGGCCTCGCTCCTCTCTTTATAAACCGCCCTGGGTCGGAGGGCGGACTGTCATCGAGGCCTGGGTCGGGTCGAGATGCGCAGTAGGGCTGCGTGTCGCTAATGGAAAACAGATGCCAGCACCTGGATTTGGAGCAGAAATTACTATTTGTTTCGTAGATGTGAGGTAGTGGTGAGCCAACATCCTGCCGCCTTCACTCGGTACGTCACCGAATCGCATGACCGAGCGTCGCGCGTCGGTGACTCCGGTCGCTCAGTTAGTTATATGCCAACTTTCGGTCACACGCATCTCAAATCTTCGCAAATAGAGGGATAGGGATCAAAGAGGGAGAGAAAGAGAGAGAGAGAGAGAGAGAGAGAGAGAGAGAGAGAGAGAGAGAGAGAGAGAGAGAGAGAGAGAGAGAGAGAGAGATCAAAGAGAGAGAGAGAGAGAGAGAGAGAGGAGAGAGAGAGAGAGAGAGAGAGAGAGAGAGAGGAGAGAGAGAGAGAGAGAGAGAGAGAGAGAGAGAGAGAGAGAGAGAGAGAGAGAGAGAGAGAGAGAGTTGAGACGTGTCATGCGAAAAAAGTATGAAGACCTTTACTCTTATATTTTATACTCTTAGTCTTATATTATATTTTAGGTCAGGTATGTTAGCCCATGACCGACTGGGAGGGTCCAATCCGACCCCTCCGTTCTGCTTCAATGGATCCTGAGCTGTTTTATATACAAATTAACGTGCAACTTCATATGTTTTAATTTATCTATTTTTATTAATTTAATTTATTTATTTTCTATTTTTCTTCTCAGAGTTCAACAAGTACTTATGCATTCTTTTAGGCCAAATATTTTACAGCATATAATTTCCATGAAACTCAGAAAAGAATAGGTATGCTTAATAGTTACCCCGCGCCCCACTGGGGTCTGCGTATAACACGCTCTACTCGGGGGGGGGGGGCTCTCCATAGCCCCCCTCCTATCTCCGAAACTACTGGGCCGATCGTCAAAATTCAAACGGCGTCTGATAGCCCCGGAAAAACTGTCGATAGAAACCTAATTTCATTGACCTCGAGGTCACCGATGACGTCACAGGTCAGGTCACAGTAAAAATTATAAGCATTTTGTCTTGTTCACATTTTGGGCTCTGGCCGCCGTCTTACAAGTCAGAACAGGCTAATTTTTGGTTTATACACTCATGAACAGATGCTCTAGATACCCTGAGGGTACCAAACTTGTACTTTGATTTTCAGGTCAGGGTCAGGTCATCACAGGTCACGGAAATATTATATCATGCGTCGGTCACGTGACACATGTTTTATGGTCCATTTAGGCCATATACCGGGTGTCCCAAAAGTAAGGTCATGATTTAAAACTTAAATATCTCGAGAAGTAAGAGTCCGAATCACTTCCAATTTTAACACGTGCAAGGTACATCCATAAAATTATTTTCTTGCATGCTTAAACCATTTTTGATCATAACTACACCGAGCAGTAGGCATAAAACTGAGAAGGTCGAAATTCAACTCTTAGAGAGGGTCCGTCATTAAAACAAAGGGTAAATGCCGCCCAGTTTTCGGCCCTAAGCAGACCCTATCAGCTCGCCCATCTCTGAACTCATGCATAGTTTCGCCTCAACCGGTAAAACGTCAGAAAAAAGGTATAATGTACGCACAGGGCATGTATACTTAGCCACCTGTGCTTCGAGGTCCTGAGGACGACAGCGGGAATCGGGTGACAATAAATCAAGAGAGGTGGCCGAGAGTCCTCCCAGTGGTTCTTCCGCTCGTCGCAACGCAGCTGTGCCGACACCATCAGCCAGCAGTGGTTTCAGCAGGATGGAGACTATGCTTGCACCGTCCTGAAGATCATGCATTGTCTCCGAGAGTGGATGTGAGATCCCGTAATTTTCAGTCAGGGCAACGCCATTGAATGGCCTCCGCGGTCACCTGACGTTACACCTTCATATTTTTATTCTCTGGGTACACAACGGAAAGATTGTCTTTTAGGACAACCCAACGAGCCGGGAAGAACTACAGGATGATCCCTCCGAGCAAACATAAGCGGCATCTTACCAGAGAATCGCTCCAGAATAGTGGAGGAAGTCAAACGTACACTGTAAACCAAATTGACAAGTCTTGTGTAATATAACCAATCATCTCTTGGTATGTTTACCAACTGATACTTTTCAAACAAGCCGTTGTCTGGTGCATTGCTTGTCAGATGACAACTACGAGTCAATAGTTACTATGCACACCAACTTCTCAGTATCCAGACCAACTCTACATTTGTTTCAACGTTTGTTTCTTAACCAGTTTTGGAAACTTGTTGCCGCATGGTTATTTAACCGGCGCCTAACTTGTACTGGTCAGCTGGTCAGCATACACATGGTCAGCTGCGCCCGTGACGTCAGACTTGGCGGACCAATCAGCGGTCGCCGTCCGGCCCCGGCGCGGCGGTTTCAAACCGTTCAAACCAGCAGTTGTCGCGCGGCCGCCGTGCAGCATGGATCAGCGACGAGGGCTGTTCCAGCATTTGTGCAGTAAAAAGTGAAATATGTGAACTGTGGTGTTCGTGCTGTGAGTGAGGCCCGCTCTGGCCTGCGGGACGCACTAATCGTGCCTATACCCGCGGTCGAGACGCCTCCCTTCCCCTGCGCGCGCAATGTAAGTGGGCCAGACCTTTGCATGCACATGTGAGCAGATGTTTTGCGGTCGGTGTTTTTTATATATAAATACATTTATTTGCCTTTAATTCAACTCTTTGTATTTTTAACTTAACTGATGGACATATATGGGCTGTAAAAGCTAATCTGGTTGGCGATCATGCTTTATTCGAATTATCTGCGTGATCGTGCAACTGCCATGATTGTTATGGTCAATGTGGAAATATTCGTCATACGGGCATGTTATACTTCTGGCTTGATGCGATGCACAAAACCGTGTTCTTCCACATACGCAGCAGTTCTTGCTTCAAAGACTTATATGCTGACGGTGCACGATAGGTATACCTTATACCTCATGCATTTACCACATCCATTCGAAAATATGCACTTGGAATTGTCTCCAGTCAATAGTATTAATTACATACTACGTGATGTAGGTACGTGACCGTAATAAATACTAATGATTCCAGAAACTTCCGAATGGATGTGGTGTATGCATTCATCGATTATATAACCCATCAGTATTTCGTTTCTTGTCAGCACAAGCCTTTGAGCAATAACTGATGCCAGTCATGATTTTGTGCACCACTTCCAGCCAAAAAATGACCTGTCCGTATAGAAAATATTTCATGAATCAGTATCGTGGCAATTGAAAACGAACGCGAATCGTAAGTTCTTAAGGTTATCAACGCAAACAAAGCGATTGTAAGGAAGAACAAGTTCGAACTGAGCGTTAGTACACTTACTTGTTGACAATTTGTAAACTAGCAATGCCCAGTCAAAGGCTAGTTCATCAACAAACCAGGGGTTGTTGAACCGACAAGGAAACGGCTATGCCTATCCAGAAGTTGGTAGGTTCACAAGGCCCAGACTAGTACTCAACAAGGTGACGCCTATGCGAATTGGAACCAAACTTGTAGACAAACTGTTAGTTTGTTGGCCAACACGCCTGGGGTTGGTGAATCGACAAGGTGACGCCTATGCGAATTGGAACCAAAGTTGTAGACAAACTGTTAGTTTGTTGGCCAACAAGCCTGGGGCTGGTGAATCGACAAGGTGACGCCTATGCGAATTGGAACCAAACTTGTAGACAAACTGTTAGTTTGTTAGCCAACAAGCCTGGGGCTGGTGAATCGACAAGGTGACGCCTATGCGAATTGGAACCAAACTTGTAACAAGGAGCCAACTTGTAGATTTGGTTTACAGTGTAGTCTATTCATGCACGCGACCCGAAATGGCAGCCATGTAGAAAAGCAGCAAATGTGGGGCTACGAGCCAATGTATTGACTCATATGTATGTCAGAATAAAATTTTATAAAATGCTCTTTCGTATGATGTCCTATTTATATCTATCCATCGCGTATTTTTGGCAGTGTGGCCAAAACAAATGATGACCTTACTTTTGGGACACCCGGTATATCGAATTTGATGTCGTCTGTGTCATTTGAGGTCATTTTGAGTCGAATTTAGCTTAGGTCGGGTCACTTTCAGGTCAAAAAAGGTCAAATTTTGAAGTTAAAATTTTTCAACAATAAAGATGTCTACTGGATGCAGTTTGAGCTCAGAGACACGATGGTGCAATTTATATTGTATTGGTGTACGATGTCAAATACGTACTGAAAAATTGATTTGAAAAATTAATAATTGTAATTTTTTGCAATAATGCGTATATAACTTGGCCATTTTTGAAGATATTTAGCTAAAACTTACTGGAGTTAGTCATAAGCACATGCGTTCTATCACATATATACCATACCAGTTTTTTTTCGAAAAGTCAAAAACTATTTGAAAAAATATAAAAATATAAATTTTGAATTTTATTATATAAATTTTTTCAAAATTTTCAAAATTTTGAAAATCCAAGATAGCAGTTTGATAGCGCAGTCGATTCTGAGTCCTCTCATGCAAAGAAATTGGATCTAGGCTAAAAACTGAGCTCTTGGGAGCGATTGCCGTGGTTCAATGTTTTGCGTCGAAATCGGCCGAACATGACGTCACTCTGACGTCATTTCCGGCCGACCTATGGTAGCTACGAAGTTCATAGTTTGACACGAGGTGTCAAATTAATGCAGCCGAAGGTACTGAAAGTTTGGCGTCGATAGGTCAAGCGGTTTGAAAGTTATTGCAGAAAAACGGGAGGGGGCTATGAATAGTGGGGCTATGAATAATAGTTAACCCGCGCCCCAGTGGGGCGCGGGTTAATTTAGATCAACCTGCAGAGAAGAGAAGCAAATATGACTTTATAGTCTCACATTCTGATTCATAGGTAATCTCCTTTTACATTAGCTTGACGTCTTTCGTGAAAGTGATATGTATGCAATTCAATTCATTTGAGAAAAAACGCAGCTACGAGACATTTTTTCGTAAATATCTTATGGTAAAACCGTTTAAAAAAAGGTCTGGTGGAGAATACAAGTAAAATGCAATAAAAAAACATCAGAGGATGCCACTAAAATTATCGGAGCTATTGGTTCGAGAAACTTCTGACCAAACTGAACTGGTGAGTCAAAAAAGCTTCTCAATGGACTTCACCCTCGCCGGCCGGGGGGGGGGGGGCTTGGGGCGGGGGAGTGCCTCCCCATAGTTTTTTTTCGCGATAACTTAGAAGGCGCTGGGGATGAGCTGGAATCTGGCATCCCTGGATTTTGATTCAAACCGGATCTTGTAACATCAACTGCATTTTCAGGTCAGGTCAGGTCACCAACCTATGATTTGAAAGCATAAGTGAACCTTTACAAGGTTCTAAACTGGCGCAACTTCGCAACGCCCTCTGAATGCCAGAGGAGCTTTCACAGGGAAATAAAACTAACACAGCCAAGTACCTATCCTCCAAACGCAGAGCTCTCACAACATAATGTATAATGTATACCTAGGATTTTTTTCCTAGGGATCACCTGAGCTCAGGTCGGTCATGTAACCTTTAGGTATATTCATTTAGGTATATAGGACCATTACAAGTCAATATGGGAAGCATGAAAACTGCTATTTCGGCGACGAGAGTTATTTTAAATTATCTCAATTGAGCTAGCGAGTCGGATAAGCCACCAATATGTAGACTCGGCAACACCTGCCGAATGGAATGATTGCAATATAACCTCCTTCCACCAGCTTCGTGATCTGAGCTCTGTCTCTGACCTGATGACCTGACCTTGACCCGAGGTATATTGAGCTCACCTAAAGTAAAAGTGTATCATTTGGCGCATGAGCATGGAGAACACGACGGCGACTAACTCGCGGCTCTGGAGTCTGGACCATTTTTGGCAACATAATTTGTCAAAACCGAGCTCGTGCCTACCTTTGTGCACTTAAACTAACCTCAGACACATGGTGGATCCAGGGGAGCATTTGGGGCAAATGCCCCCCCCCTCCCCCGGTAGCGCCCGAAATCGGCCAAAATTTCCGATTTTCGAGCATAAAACGAAAACTTCACAATTTTTATTAGGAAACGTTTATTTTAAACTGCAGATCAGTACGTATGACCAACGTATGACACACGATAATTTTTTCTTTTAATTCGGAAAACATTTTTAGGGAGTTAAACATGCTCATAATCAACAACGTGTAAGACCCCCTTTCAGGATCCTCAATCCAGTATCCACGACCACCAGTGACCGCAGAGGTCACCGGCTGACCTGAGACCTTAAAATCGGGTACCAGTCGCTGGGCGCATAGGTATGTATACATACGCCCTTTCTTCGCGGGTCTCTAGCTCAATTAGGGGCGAAACGGTGAGGGGTCGTACTCATTGGCTCCCTCATTGATACCTACTACCCGCCTCACCCGCCCCTAATTGCACTCATACCCTCCCCCTTGACTGGGACGTATCTAGGAAACCAATAGGTCCGACAAGGGTTTCTCATCCTCCAGTATTTACATTTTACCGGCGACTCAGTCTCACATGTTTTGCCTATGACTCATATTTTCATAAACTTCCAGCACCTATCCGTGCTTCTATCCTCAGGATACTGAAATCCTTCTCCTCCACGCCGCAACCCCCCTCCGGGCTGGACAGGCAACTTTATCTCATGCGGGCTGCTCCCTTGGAGCGGCACCGCTGCTCCTGAGGGAGCGCACCCCGTAGCCGGGTGCAGTGAGTGCCTTGGGGCTGGGTGGCCTGTCTTTGGACGGGCTCAGCCCCGGCGACTCACTAGGGTGCCTGCCCAGACCAATGTCTCCCCCTAATCCCTATCATCCTTCCGGCTCTGCAATGGTCTTGTCGACCGAAAGGGCCTAACCCAACAAAACAAACAAACAAACTTCCAGCTCGTCCGAGACCGACTACCGCAACTCAAAGATCGCCATTAGGTGTCACAGTAACGCAGATTTCACTATTATAGATGACGCTCCAAGTCGCTAAAACAGTGGCTTGCTTTATCTAGAGGATTTTCAGAAGGAGTCTCTAGTCTGGAGAGCTTTACAAATTCTAGCGACTTTAGTAAATGGAAGCATTTGGCAGCACATGTGTTAGGCTCGCAGTTTACGTTGGAGAGCCCGGAGAGCCGCGATTCGCGTGTGTTGTGCGGTGTGGGGTTCACGAAAGCTGCGTGTATTTGTGTCGTGTCTAGGAGTGCTGCTTTTTGAGTGGAGTGTGCTTCGTTGAAAATTTTAGGGCGTTCAGCAAGTTACGCAGTGGAAGTTTTAGGCATAAGGTTCTGCGTCAACGCCAGGCTGAGACTGAGACGCCATCACTCACTGTCCAGCACGCCTCAACCGCACTCAATTGGTCTTATGCTCTGTTTTCTAGCTATCAAAGGTAAGTAACACTGAGTTGATGATAAAAATCACTCTTAAATGTCTCACAATTTGAATGTGAAACTGATGAATTGAAGGGCTGAGGTCATGCTTGATTTCCAGTTTCAAGCGTATCTCAACGTTTCAAGATTTTGTCATTTATGGATTGAAGTTTTGTTATCCTGTTAGCAACAGTTTTGTGAAACCATGTTCTTTCATATCACAACCATACATGTCAATAGCTGTATTCATTTCGTTATTTATTTCCAGGATCCGCGTGAAGTGTCCACCGCCAACCGGCCGGGACGGGAAAGATGATTCAACTTGGACTCGTCCGCGGCGGGGGAGGCAGTTAGTGGCCAGCCGAACGTAAACATCCCGGCGGAGGGCGCGAGGGGCCGTCGGCCGGCGGCCGCCAGTGAGGGCCGTGTTTTGGTGATCGGTGCGCGGGGCGCGGGGTGCGTGCCGCGCAGTGCCGGGTCGCGGCAGTGGTACAGTGGTGCGGCCGCGGCGAACGATGACGGCGCGTCGCTGACCGGCCGTGCATGGTGTCCACTGGCTCGGTGGCCGGCCCCGCCCAGGCCCCGGACCATGCGCTGGCGGACCGCGGACCATGCGCGCCGCCCAGGGACCACAGCGCGCTCCTGATGGGTCGCCAGCAGAGCAGCAGTAAGTGTAAGTGAACACACGGGGTCTGGGCTGCTCCCAGGACCACTCACGTGGCTCCGGGGGGGGGGGGGGGGGAGGGGCAGGGCTGGGTATTCGCCTGTCATTTCGTCATTCTTATTTCGTCATGGTCATGCGTATGCTAATTAGTGGGTGTGTTCTGTGGTCTGCCGTGCTGTGATTGGAGGTGTGCTGTGCTGTGCTTTCTATGCACTGTGATATGCAACAGTTTCGGTTCAGTCTAATATCTCATCCATGTTTCAGTCGAAGCCTAGCGTCATAGGCTGGGTCCGTCATTCCACTTCAGTGCCAAAATCAGAATCCGAACCGCGGATATCCCTGCAGCGAAATCGCCACCTCTCAAAACAGACGCTTCACTGTCATCGCTGTGTGTTGTGATTCCATGAACCCCATTCGTACTTGCTGAAGGGTGCGTAATGCATTTCCGCTGCATTGCCCTTTGAACCTGCCGCCCGGATGTTCGGTATGGCTCTCGATCAGATGGCGATGACTTCCTAACGCCTGTGGCGTGACACCTCGCCGCGTGCCGGAACCGACTCACTTCCGGCGCCCTCTGCCAGGTGCCTGGGGGGGCTGGCGGGGGGTGGCGTGGGTGGGAAGGGGGCTCCGATGCTGACCGAGGTCCCCTGTGGAGTGTGGGTTCATTCGGAAGGTAACTCGAGAGCCTGGCAGAAACTAGAAAGGATTTTCCCCTTGGATCTATGATCCGTAGGAATTATAGATCCGAGTCTGATCCCAGGATAAATTTTTCACGCCGGATCCGGTGGGATCATAGATCCTAACCTGAAGTTTGCTTCGAGATCAACTGAGACGCAGTTGGGGACGAGGTGATAGAAGTTTCTTTTCCTCCAGACTGGTTAATGTCTGGAACAGGAGCGAGTACCGTTCGCTTTTTTTCTGCTCAGAGTGTAGGTAGAAAGGTGTGCACAATAATTTGCTACTGGGGCAAAGTTCCCTCCCCTATGTGCTATCAAAGATCTCATGACTTTTAAAATGCATTCTCTGCAACCAATCTCGGTTTTCCTTGTTGCTTCAAGGATGGCTTTTAGGGCACTCAATGTAAAACTAGTATAAACTTAACTTCTTTCCACAATATCCATATTTTGCAGAATCAATTAAAGGGACCCTCCCACCTTCAAAAAAGTTAATGAATTGGCATGAAAGTGATGTCGCTCGGTTCAGAAAGAGCAAAAATGAATATCTACCAAATTTCATTGAAAAATATTCACCGGTTTTCAAGATATTAGACTTTTACTTTTGTTTACTTTTTGGGATCTCCGCTGTTCCTAGCGACTTTATTTGAAAGTGCGGCATTTGTTGCGCGCAAAGCAGCATATACCACCGCGTGCTGCCAAACGTTTTAGTAAAAGATTTAAAAATCGTTAGATCTCCGCTGACGTCACAAATTCTAAGGGGGCATACCAATGCATTAGCCCCTTAGAATCCGAAAACTGCAAGTTTGAAATTCCATATCTCCGAATTAAAGCATTTTTCGATGTTGTGAATGCCCAAACCGGTATTTTCAGGCCATGGCCACCAATTTGGCTATCTCAACTCAAAACTAATGTTAAGGTGGGAGGGTCCCTTTAATAACATCCTGTTTCATCATGTTCCGGTGAAGGCTGTCCCACACAATGGGAACTGTGCCGTTTGAGCCAGGCTAGCGACGGCTCACTGTTCGCCAGGGCAGCTATTTCATTGGTTTATTGTTTGGCCCGCTGTTATTATTCGCTGCAGTTCATGCATTCATTCATGGAGGTCTGTACTGAAGGCAGACCTGAAACAGGAGTCAGGAGCTATCGTCGGCAATCGTGGCTGACATGGCATGTTCTGGTCGAGTCTTGGTGGCGTAGGTAGAGCCCGTAACCATATCTCCAGGCGTGGGCCATCCCAGCTCCAGTGTCTGTCGTCCTTTGTATACAGTCCCAATTCAGATGTCTGCCGTCTGCCCCGTATCATCCCAGCTTTGCGGCGTATGCTGTCCCGTACTGTCCCATACCGTTTAACTCCAATTTATTTCATTCCATACCGTACCATGCCGTCCCAACTCTAGTGTATGCCGTCCTAAATCGTCACAGCTGCGGCGTATCAGAGATGTCTTCTGTCTGTTTGAGACTATGCCTATTAACTACCTAACCAAGAAGCTGTCCTCGGCGTGATCGAGACAGGAGCGTCCACGGTTGTGGACGCTCACGGTTGTGCCTCAGATCAGTTTGACATATCTGCTTATCTATGTCTAAAGCTATCATAGGCGCGGGAGCCAGGGGGCAGGGGGGCAGCTTGCCCCCCCCCCTAACTCTGGGGCCGTGGGGGCGGTGCCCCCACAGCTTTGAGACGGAATACCACACTTTTTTGCAAATGTTTTCTTTTTTGTTGAAAAAGCCAAGGGATGAAAAATAAGTGGCCTAAAACCGGTGAGAAAACTAGATTTGGGGGTAGGTACCCTAGGTTGATCTCTATTATGGTGTGCCCCCCCCCCCCCAGTCTGAAAGTAGTTCCCGCACCCCTGAAAGCTATGCACAGCTGGTGTGCTGCCTTTTTATCGTTTGGCGACGGGCGACCACATTTCAATAAGAAAATCGGCGTTAAGCTCATCTGAGAAGCCTAGCGCCCTTTCACTTTGCCCAAATACATGTTGGTAGGTCCTTTCGTCAACCCTCGGTGCAAAGCTCGTGCTGCCACCCAACATTGGAGGCGCTCGCTTCCCGCCTAGTTTCAATGGTACTGCTGCAGTGCCGCAGTCATCCCGTCGGCCGTCACTATTGTTTGCTGTGATCCGGCCCGATCGCCGTGAGATACCTGGCGACTTTGTCCGCCGTTTGTTGTTCAACACGCTCGGCATTCTCCGTCACTACTGAGGACCGGCGACCGTGGCCTCTGACCTGCCCTCATGCACTGCTTTCCTGTGTGTGGCGGCTCTGCGCAGAAAACCGGCTGCGTATTGTAAGGCGCCCTAAGCACGATGTCCCTGTGACGATGCTTGGTCGCCACAGCATGCTGTCCGCCACACTTCTCGGAAAACCACTCAGCCAGCCGGTACTTATATAACTTACTGTCATATTCGGCGTAAGATATTATGAGTTTGGCTGCGTTGAATGTCTGCTCTATTTCTCATCTACAAAAACTAGAGGGGAGGGAGTGTGGTACGAGTAAGACCGGAGACTTGAGAGCCTCCCCAGCGGAAATGTCCCAGTGACGGCGTCCGGCCGTCGCGTCGACCGTCGTTTGGATGATGTGACACCTGTTGGCTCGCCATTATGGGCGGCGCGAGTCTGCGTCAGCTGTTATGGGCCGTACGAGCCCGCGTCGGCCGGTTCGGCGTCGGAAGTGGCGAGCCTGTTGCTCAAGTGGCTGTCACGAGGCTGACAGGGGTGTGTGGGAAGAGGGAATTCGGATCGGATCGTTGCACGAATGCAGGCGTGTGGTGTCACTGCAGTGTCACGTGTCACCCTGTGCTTTGCACGGGCTGTGTCACGTGTATCAATGGATGCCTTGGGAGCTGCGTAAATTACGGCATTCCTCTTCGTGTTTTCAAGACCTTCGGCGTTGTGGTGTTTGGCTAAAGCCTCTTTGTTCCTTGGCATATCAACAGAGACATAACGTAGCTTCTTATGTAACGAAATCCGTATTATTCTTTCATTGCAATGTTACCACCAGCATTGAATTGGCCGTTAGCATTCAGTTCCTCCCTGCCTTTCTGCAATGGTGGCGTTATCTGCACAGGCCCGTCTCATGAAGTGCCTGTTCCGCCTGTCAATGTGGCCGGCTGGAATGTAATCGGGTCGTTTCCACTGGGAACGGCCGACTGCGGCTCTCACGTCGGTCCGTGACCTCTCGTACCGCGGCGTCTGGCCCCTGGAAGTGCTGTGAGGCGGTTTCGGCGCTCGTTTCTCTTCTCCGAGGAGGAGTGTCTGGTCTGACCAGTCTGCTCTGTGGACGCCCCCCCCCCCTCGTCCCCCCTCTGACCAGTGACGCACGGTGGTCACTGGTTTGGTCCGGTGACGAGGTTCTATTGACTATAATGCCAGGAGATGATCATTACACCACCAGCAGGGCGTGTTCCCAGTTTCGTGCGCCGCCGCCAGGAAAGACGACCCTGGCTTGCCGTCTCTAGCAGCTGCATCTCACACCTCTCCACATACACATGTAAACACGCGTATCGATGTGTCCGTGTGCTGGTCCGGTGTCCAAATGTGACGGCGCTGACGCCCTCGGCAGGTGCAGGAACGGGCCGGCGTGTCCGAGAGGCCGGACGCTACCCAGCGACCCGCGACATTCTGTCGAGTGTCTGTGCGTCTGGCGTGTGGTGGAACGGTTAGAAACGTTTGTCAGCCGTTTCCTTTCGCGTCTCTCGGTAGATAAATGTTGGAATCGGGTGTGCTGGAGCGTTCGAGGGCTGGACTGGGGTTGAGCGATAACGGTTTGGTTAGGTAACGATGGATGTGGTAAATAGATTTGAAACTGTCAACTGTCAACATTATCGATAAAATGTCCACATTATCAATCCGAAATGTTGTCAACATTATCGATTTAAGGTCAACCTATCATACCGATGTTGACATACCTTCCAACTTTGTATGAAAATTTGTCACGATCACGTTATGCGGAACGGAAGGCATGTGTAATTCAACTGAAGGTTACCGCTATTGTGCTCCTGAGGTCATTCCTTCTCTACTTTATGCATTGACTCGAAAAATGCCTACCAACATTTCGTTGCCTTTTACCTTGCTTGGTTCTTCATTATTGCAACAGAAAAATGACAATTTTCGCGGTGTTGTAGGAACAATCTGCGCAGTTCATTTTGGGTTGTCTGATGTATCTCTTCCATTATTTCATCATCACGTATCAGTCAGCAGTGCTGCCTTTGACTGGCATCGTCTACGGTCCCAGTCGGCTGCCGCCTGGGAGTGGGTCGAAGTCCGGCCGGGCGGGCGGGGTCCGTCTGTCTGTCTCTCACGTGGCCGGCGCGTGCCAAGCCGGCGCGGTGAAACATTACTAGAGGTGGCAAAACTGGAAAATTTTGGGACCCGGACCCGGACCCGGTCTGACTGGCACATTTCTGGAACCGGTCAGACCCGGTCTAAGTCAGCGTTGGAACCAGATGGACCCGTTCCCGAAATTCATTATGAAAATTGTGTACAGTTGTAGGTATAGCAAAAGAAAATAGTTTCTTTCCAATTGGGCATACTTGTGTCACAAAGTAAAAAACTCATGCCATGGTCATTTCACTTCGCTTCATAGTTTGTATTTTGGAACCAGATTCAGGTCATATTTAAGAATATAAGAAGTAAGTAGACCAATGAATTTCATGCTAACCTAAGCCACTTTTACTACAGCTGCTAAAAATGATGTGAACTGGGGATCCATGGACCAGTGCCTTCACCAGAGTCAGAACAAGAACCTAACATCAACATGGAACAAGATAACCATACTGATAGTTGATACATACCTTTTCTAATATCCTTGGTAAAAGATATTCGGTTTTAGAATTAAATTCATTAGTCCTTACAAATATTATCAACTATCAAAGGCCCCAAACGATAAAACATTCAAAATCAAAATAGAAACATGAAAACTGTGTGAGGTTCGCCAGAAATGTCGACACGACAGAACAGGCGTTAAATCACTGCAAAATTTTGTTGGGGTTAATGTACTGCAAAATCGTAATGGCAATAAACTTTAAGTACTGCAAGTCGGTTAAGTAGGTTGCGATCATGACTTAAGTGCCAATTTATTAACGTAGAAAACAAACTACATTTTGTTGTTAGTACCTAGACATAGAATAAATACCAAGGGTTCTGAGACTTTCTTCCCGAACGTGTTCCAAAATTGTAACCTTTATGCAGTAGATTAGCGTGCGTAAGGTATAGCATATATGACGCTCAAATGCGCCATTTTCACATCAACACGGAATCATTGGCCTTGGAGAAGGGCATTGGTATTGACTCAGTTTTTTGTCAGCTGCTGCCGTATGATGGCGCTAGTAGAGCGCTATATGTATAATACGATCTGCTAGCGCCACCATGCGGCGCAAGTTGGCTAAAATCTGATCAATACTACGGTTTCTGGAGAGTGCCTTGGATTCATTTTTAGCTTTATGGATTTATGCAAGGGCATGTTGGTTTTATGAGTTGTCTTCTGGCCGTGATAGAAATAATTTCAAAGCTGTTTGAGTTATGAAATGCATTTGAATATCAAACATGAACTCTGATTTCCGGTGGGCATTGGTATGTCAATATCTTTGAAAAGGCAGGTGAGAATGCCACTGGTCAGCCTTGCTTCAATTGGATTTGTGTCCATTTTTAAATGGATTTCAGTCATACCTACTTACTTACCTACAGATGTTATTGGTATTTGATTTCTACAGCTCAAAATATTGCCAGGTGCTGTACAGCAAACTGAATGGAAGTGATCCGTACAAACATTTGGTGCAATGTTTTCTGGATTGCTAGCACTTAGAACTTGTTTATTCTGTTGTAGGTGACAAGATAAGAAATTGAAGCAAGACTGACCAGTATCAGTATGCTATAGAATAGGTAGCCCAATCTGCTGGAATATTGAAATTCAAAAGTGGAATTGGGACTTATGAACTGGAAACTGCATCAACTATGACTATGTTTGCCAAAGCATAAAAGATATTAATGTTTACCATAAAGCACAGGGAAATGATAGGACCCGGTTGGACCCGGCCAAATATTTTGGGGGACCCGGTCTGGACCCATCCGGGTCCAGACCGGTTCCATAGACCGGGTCCCCGGGTCCACATTTTGCCACCTCTAAACATTACCGACCAACCAACCACACCGGCAGGCAGGCAGGCCGGCGGACCCGGCGACCCGCGCCCGGCGGAGACCCCCCCCCCCCGGCTGGACACTGTCCCCGGCTGCGGGGGGGGGGGGGGTCGCGGCGCCGAGCGCTGGACGAGGCCGGTTCACCGACGTCGTCACCAGTCCGGTCGCCGCTCCGCCGCTCCACTCCTGGCTATTGATCCGCGGCCAAAGGCCAAAGCCACAGCCGCCGCACCGGCGCCGACCAGAGTCGGAGCCGGTAAACAGCGCGCCGAATTGTGCCGCGGCGGCCAGGCGCCTGCCGGCTGGCCCGGCGTCTCTCACCGAATGCGTAGATGCATGGTCGACCCCGCGACCGGCGGGGCTGGGCGGGGACGCGGGTGGGGCGGTCACGTGCGCAGCTGGTGGCTCGAATGTGGGTCAGACGGTCTGGTCAGGAGCGCCGGGGGCTGTGCGGCGCACACGCATTGCGTCAGGTGCGTGGGCCGTTACCGGCGCGGTACGGCGGCCGGGGGAGCCAGCATCCACGGTCCTTAGAATGCGCGTCGACTGCCGATGGCTGATGAAAGCAGGAGATCCTGATGAGAGATCTCGCGAGGCTAATGGCCCGATTTCACACAAATAATTTGGCTGAAATGTGACAAACCGTGGCGCTAGGAATATTTTGCAATATAAATGGGAAGAATTTACCATATTATCATTTTTATTCTTGCTCTGAACTCTGAAGCTATGTAATTCAACAACTTCGCTTTCATTTTTTCACCTCAGAGTTACAACCTATTTTTCGAATTTCGAGCCAGTCCCATTTCAGCGTTTGCCGTTTAGGCTTGTGGAATGTCACCACTCATCGTGAAAAGGCCCTCGCCTGTTTGGTGAGTTGATAGCGGCAGTGATGTTTCATAGCGATTTGTTGCTGTCACAAGAATTGGAAAAAAAAATGTTGATCAAATTGATAATCGTAATACCTAATCGTAACGAATCGCTGACGATAATCATACTTCAGAGAACAGAACCTGTATCGCGGACGTCATTGACTTAGCGCGAATTTTCACGAAGCTTGCTCACCTAAGCGCAGAATGTCGGTCTTACCCCAAGATAGACCAACTGGCAACTATTGACTCTTTTTGTCGCTGCTTGTTCCATAAAAAACTGTCGGCGTATCGAACTTCATTTGCTTCTGAGCTTGCTCTCGGAGCTATTGCTTCCGTCGAAGAACCGGTACATTCGTTCGGACTGTGACTAAGGACGGACTCGCATTATGACGAATTATGGTTGACTGTAAATTGTGGACCGTGGATCGTTGACCGTGAATTGTGGACTGTGGAATGTGGATCGTTGGCCGTGGACTGTAGATTGTTGACCTTGGTCGTGAACTATAACGAGAGCGGACCGAGTGAGCCATCAGCGGGGGGGGGGGGCTATGACGTGTTTTCGTGACTCGGGGGTGGCTGACCCGCAGGGCAGGGTCCAACCCTTCCGTCTATCCGAGCCTGGAACAGTCGTGACCGGCTGTTTGGCGGCGGGTAACCACAGATAACCGACCGATAAGGGCCGGGCACTGTGTTTGCGCCGTGGAGATACACTTCCAGACCTTTGTGCCGATGTGGCAAGGCCAGATAGCCACGGTCCATGCCGCTAGTTTTACTGTCGGAACTGCCTTTGTTGCCTTAGTTCTGTCTAGCGCGTTGTGAAGTGACAAACTCTTATCGGCGAGCTCTGTGCTGTGGCTGTCTTTGGTGGACTGCTCCAGCTAATATGAGAAATGGGAAAATGTCCGTGGGAGGTGATTTTCGGTGTGGCGATGCTTGCTTGAGAACGGGTTTGTATCCTGTTGGTCGCTTGCAGTATCTTGTGTCATTTGTATGCAAGTGAACTCGAGGCTTTTTGGGAAGGGTTTCCTTATATTTAAAGGTTTCCTACGAAAGAGCTGTCTGGTTTGTGATGTTGGGATTTGGACAATATATCAGTGATCTTAGTTATATTGCATGTGCTTCCTTGGAAGACGCTGTTTTGGTTTATTCAATGGCAGATCGCCAAACTTTGTAGTCTGTCTCCATTGTAGGCTGTCTTATGTAAATGGCCATGCCTTCCATTGCACGGCCATTCACATAGGTAAGTGGCATCACTAAGGCGGCACTCCAGCTGGCTGGCACTGCATTTGCAGCCTGACAATGTGACGAAAGCGAGGTCACGTGGGCCCGTGGCGCCTTTGACATGGTGATTAGGGCAGACCTTGACACGTGTTTTGCTCCTGGATACATGTTGCGCAGATTGATGACTCAGCTTGGCCGTCAGGTGGTGTTATGTAAAACTGCTGCATGTGGAGTGATTCATTTACGCACAGGTGGCGGCGGCCAATCGTTTCTTTATTTTGAGCGTGTGTTGTGCTTCTTTGTTTGTGTAGCGTGACATCACCTCTTCACACTACGTCATGATACCGCACCACCATCACCCATGCGAGCCTTGCCACCTGTGTCCTTCTTTCCACAGTCTGCTGACCTGTTGCCCCTACGCTGTCCCTGTTTCAGACCAGCTGAGGTCTCGGCCGGGCCCAGTGCTGCCGCCGTGTGTCCCTGGGTAGCCGGCTGAGCTTTTCCCCTGTGCTTCAGACCAGCTGAGGTCCCGGCCGGGCCCGGCGCTGCCGTTCGTAGTCGTGTCTCTGAGTAGCTGGCTGACCTGTTCCTCCTGTGTTTCAGACCAGCTGAGGTCTCTCCCGGACCCAGCGCCTGTGTCCCTGAGTCGGTAGCCGGCTGACCTGTTGTCCCCTCTGCCCCCTGTTTCAAACCAGCTGAGGTCTCTCCCGGGCCCGGTGCTGCCGCCGTGTGTCCCTGGGTAGCTGGCTGACTTGTTCCCCTGTTTCAGACCAGCTGAGGTCCCTCCCGGGCCCGGAGCTGCTGCCTGTGTCTCTGGGTAGCCGGCTGACTTGTTCCCCCTGTTTCAGACCAGCTGAGGTCCCTCCCGGGCCCGGAGCTGCTGCCTGTGTCTCTGGGTAGCCGGCTGACTTGTTCCCCCTGTTTCAGACCAGCTGAGGTCCCGGCCGGGCCCGGCGCTGCCCCGGCAGACCGCCACAGGAGGCGCCGGCCGTGCCGAGCCCCCCTCCCCTGAAGACTCGCCGCCACCGGCCGCCGGAGACATCTCATCGCTGTCCTCGCGATCTCCGAGCAACGGGCCCGACCTGCAGACCATGCAGGCGCGCATCCCGTGCCGGTTCCGGGATGCCACCCAGGCGCCGCTGAGGAAACTCACCCTGGACCTCATCAAGACGTACAAACACATCAATGAGGTGAGGAAGCGGTGGCTGAACGGCTTTGTGCGTGAGAGACTGGTCGGTGGATGGGGGCACGATACGTCAGGTGGAAAAGTCAATGCCGCCCGTAAATAGACGTTTGGACGAGAGGAGGAACAAGCATCTTACATGACGAATCATATCGCCTATGATATTATGATGTTACAAACTATGTCGGGGTGATAGCGACTGGTCGCTGGATGACGGGATTCCCCCTCTATCACACCTATTACGTCTGCTCACCGTGACTCCCCTGTTGCTATGCGGGAGAGCGGCCGTCTGGTCATAGGGGACGGTCTCGGAAGGACCGGCAGAGGGGAGGGAAATCGGAGCCGGCCGGCCGGCCGACGGCGCCAGCTGGCCAGACGCGTCAGCGCGGCGCCGGTGCACCTGGCTGTCCGGACGAGTCCATTAATCATCCGGTGGGGGAGGGAGGTCGGCGCGAGCGGCCCGACCGCTAGCCGCGAGACGCCAGCGACGAACGGGGCGGGGACGCTGGGCGCCGGGCGGCCCGCGTCGGTCAGGTGGCGCGCTCGGACCCCTGGCGGTGGACGCTTGACGGGCGACGGTCGGCCGGTCGGCTGCGTCATGAGACAGATCGGCACCGATACCCACTGACCCCGTCATGGCGTCTCCCTCATTTATCCAAGCGGGGCCGAGTGAAGCGTTTTTGTTTTCACCGCACTGCCGTGCTACAAGCCTGTGTTGCTTGTTGCGGCTCGGCGCGGACGTCCGCCAGTTTTCCAAGCCCTGTTTACCGGGACGGCTGAAGGCGCTCGCTCGTGGCGGCGCCGCGTCGGCCTTGGATGTGGGCTTTTTTGGCCGCGGCTGTTGCCGTGCGCTGGTCACGCAGGCCGACACAACTGCGCAGTAACGGGCCGATTGGACCGGGCCGGCCGGCAGGGCCGCCGGCGGAGGCGCCACGCGGCGGGCTGGGAGGGCTGGCCGGCGATGATGTGCTGATTGCCCTTTATTATCTACATTGCCTGTATTTTAGCCACCTTGGTAATTTAAAGTGGCACGCACATGGGCGCCGATGACCACTGTAGTCCGGGCGCCCAAAAACCCCAATTCATCATCAACAGCTTCAGATATACATGGGTGGCGTCTATGAGTTGTTCGTGTGAGAAAACGCAACTGTCTAAGGCCTGTTTAAACCCTAAGGTCGTCTTTGTAGCCCCGAGTTAAAACTATTATAACAAATTTCTGCATGGTTTGCGTTCCTAATGCCCTTCCTGACCCTCTGAAGTTCCGGGTTCGACCAGAGAATGGCGTCAATTCATCCTTCCTCAGTCCTCGAGGTAAGCTGGGGAGAACTGAGAGCTATTTACTCTCACAATAGGCTGCATGGGAGTGAGGTTCGTTCGATTCTCTCAGTCGCTACTGAAACCCGGAAGATCACCAGCAGCGCTTTCATGCCTCTCGGCGCTCTCCTTCGACTCAAAACGGTGTTCGATGTGAAGGATGCCGTCGCCGCTGCACCTCTCTGCGAACGGTCAGCGCCGCCCCGTGTTCGCCCTGGACCGGGGCTCACGCCGGCGGCCCCGCCACGGCTGGTCGGCCGTGACCGAGTTGGACGGAGCGCCGTCGACTGGAGCTGCAGCCCCGCCGGCGGCGGCGGCGGCCGCAGCTCCACCAGTATTGATCAGACCGGCCGGCGGCCAACCGGTCTGTCCCCGTCGCCCCTGGCTAGGGCTGCTGAGCCTGCTGACCCCACCCGGGACTGCCAACCCTGCTGACCCTGCCGGGACTGCTGAGCCTACTGACCCTGCTGACCCTGCCCGGGAGTGCCGAGTTTGCTGACCCTGCCCGGGACTGCTGAGACTGCTGACCCTGTCCGGGACTCTCTGAATTCCCATCGGCTCCCTTTACATGCATACCTCCTGCTCTTCCCGAGACCCCATCGACACTGACGGGTTTCGCCATAGGCCGGTGTCCTCGAAAAGGCACGTGTACATGCTTCCGAGACATAATAGTCCCATAAGGCGCACAATGGGCCGACAACAGGTGTACTAAGTGCAGCGGATCCCATTCATGAGTGTCGCATGCAGGGACGGTCGGGGAAAAGGCCGGGACTGACGTGTCCCACACCAAAGGAACTGCGCCGCACGGGCCGGGGAAGGGGGAGCCCGGGAGGGTGAGACGCGGGGCTCTTTGAAGGCCTAACGCCGGTAAATGGAGTGCCACCATCGACGGAATTATATGCCACCGGTTTAGTCAGTGATGCCCATTGAATAGCTCTACCGAAAAGGATACCAACCATCTGAGCTGCGACTTCAGTCGCAAATGCCGCCACTGCGCAGTATAATAAAAGCACGTATTTCGATAGCGATTTGACGATGCTCTGAAATGGTGGCGTTTCGAGGCATGTAGCCGACCAGGCCCTGTGTCGCAGGCCTGTCTGTTTGGGACGCGTACACGCTGTACTGCTAACGCCAACCATCGATACCGTCGTCCGTCGATCATCAATCACCGATCGTCGACGTGCGCTGTCGGCTACAGCTTTGATCCGCCGGGGTGCCGGGCTGCGTCACAGGGCTTCCCGCCGCGCCGCGTGCGTCGGCACCGACGTTCCGGGAAGCCTGTGCGTCGGAAACGGCGGCGCTGCGCCACGGACCTGGCACCGACGATCGGCCGCCCACGCACCGGGTCGGCCATAAACAGAGGCGCGCGACGCTGGCGGACATAGGCGCCGATTCGCGTGAATGTCGGCGCTGTTTATCATTGGTGGGATTTCATTGGCTGGTATTTGCATATTAGTAAAGTTACGCGTGGCGTGACGTCAGCTGCTCCGCTGGCCTATGCCTCAGATGCAGTCACGTGTGGTGTTTCCGGATGTTTGCGGTCACGCGTTCGGCTCCCGGCCGCCCTGGCAAGCTATGGCACCACTCGTCTCATTATCTGCCGTGGGAGAGGGCAGCTGACTGCGGAGATGTCGCCCGTCCCGTCTGTGAAGGACAACTCCCCCCCCCCCCTTCGAGCCGTGAGACGGGCCCGCAAGTTGCGACTCAGCCGTTGCCGCTCCGTGGATCCGCTCGTATGGATGGTGGAAGTCGAGTCGCAGTCCAGTCCTGTTCGTATCTCACACAGGCACACAGCTTTGTTCCGTGACTCTGCAGATGCCAGCTTCACAAGCTGACGGAGATCACTCGTCGCTGTTCTGTATGCATCTTTACATTCATGTATGGAGACGTGCAGACAGGTGCGGAGCGCGGTCCCGCTTCCTCGGAAATACCGGTCAGAAATAGCCAACCGGTACCGAGCTTAACTACCGCACCGGCTGTCAGACGAGGAAGCCCGCAGCGTGGTGCGCGTCTGCGAACAAACATTTTGGCTCGGGCTAGTTGCGGAAGAATGGTGAGACATAACAGCAGCTAGCAGTAGCTACTTGTGACAGCCTTACGGCCTGATGGGCGGAT